GCTGGAGAGATGGCTGTCAGTCAAATATACACAGGAAGATTTTAGTTAGATCCCCAGTGCCCACTTAAAAATCTGGGCATGACTATGTGTACTTGTAATGGGGACAGGGACAGGGAGCTGGAACTCTCTGACCAGCAAGCCTAGTTCAGTCAGGGAGCCCTGGGTGCGGTGATAAATCCTGTGTTGAAAAACAATATACGTAGCACCCGAGGTGGAACACAGGCCTCACCACTACACAATGCACATACATAAGCATGTGCACTGACATACACTGCTCATCTGAGCATGTGTGTGTGTGCACACACATGCACACACACATACACACAGACACACACAGACACACATACAGACACACACATACACATGCACACACACATACACACACATTCTTGTTGAGAGGTGCTGGTCAGGTGAGGCGCATGCCCTAGTCAGGAGTACCATCATCAGTGTGATGTTCTCTGGTAGAAAAGAAAGGGGCAGTGACAGAGAGGTGTGATGTGCAGAGCATTGTGTCATTCCACTGGAGGGGATGGACAAGGTGGCAGATAGCAAGCAGTGAAAGACAGACAGATAGACAGACAGATAGACAGACAGACATCCCTGTGCAGACTGGAGCAGAAGACTGTCTGGATACATAGTTTCTCAGGCAGAGATGGCCCGTTATAAAACTTTTTTTTTTTTAAATGCTTCACAGAGAGTTAAAACAACCAAGACTCTTCACCCTAGCTAGGTGGTGGTGGTGGCACATGCCTTTAATCCCAGCACTTGGGAGGCAGAGGCAGGCGGATCTCTGTGAGATCAAGTCCAGCCTGGTCTATAAGAGCTAGTTCCAGGACAGGTCCCAGGTCCCAAAGCCACAGAGAAACCCTGTCTCAAAAAAACAAAAAACAAACAAACAAACCTCCCCCCCCCAAAAAAAAACAAAACAAAACAGAAAAACCCCTCTTCACCCTGCAGAGTTTAAGGCAAGTAGCTGAAATTTCTGGAAACCATAGGAGAACTTCAACACTTTAGGAAATGTTGTTCGGTGAGGTGCATTCTTCCATGGAACCTGCAATGGAAGTGCGGGAGAGGATGCTGCATTGAACTAAGGATTGGTACATAAAGCTAGTAATGGAGGAGCTGGCGTTTGAGACCTGGCTGGCTTTGAAGTCTGGATGCTTCTCCCTACACCAGGTCCCCAGGCCTGTGCATGGAATCGCTGCCGGCTGCCCTGCTCGCTGCTTGTGCTGAAGTCCTTCAGATGTTAGAAGCTGACTCGGCTTTGCGGGACTGGCATTTGCCCCCTCTTCTCCTTGTGTTTTTCACCCAGTTGCTTTCGTTGTCCTGAATGCAGCCTTGGACTTGGGGGCTCCTTGCCTCGGTTGTACATTGATTGCCTGTCTCATCCACCTGCTGAAGCCTTACTTAGTGATTCAGGGTTTGTGGAGCTCTCTGGGGACACTGTCCCTTCCCTCCTCTGCCAATCTGTCTTCTCCTCTGGGTCCTCATGACAGTCAAGTTTAGTTAGCACTTCCTCGCCTTGCATCAGGACAGCTAGCTGGACTCTGTCCTTCTCTGCAGCCTGCCAATCCCTGGAGTCAGGATGGAGGTGGATCTACCAGTCCCTGGGGCCAAGGTTCTGTGGACAGAGTTGGGGACTCAGCCAAGGAGAGCTGAATTCACTTGATCCCTTCATGCCAGAGATGAATCTGGGCCGCTGGGAGTTCACTTGGGGAACCTCACTGTCTTAACTTGTTTGAGAAACCTTGGCTTGCCGTAGAATAAAATCCATCAGTAACATCTTGCTTGTGGTCCCTGTCACCTGTCACTTGGAGAAAATGAGAGAACTAAAATTGGTGCCAGTGCCTTAGCAATGCTGGCTCCTCTTAGCCCTGGGACGGGAGGTGTGTGTGTGTGCGGGGGGGGCATGAGTGAGGAGTTAAGGACATGCTGATCTATGTGATAGTGTTTGTTTTCTGAAGCATAGGTGTTTTGGTTTCCATTTTGTTACCCTTAGTACCGCTAGATCCCAGGGTCTCCGCAGTGCAGGCCCCGTGGCACATGTCAGTTCACCTGGACACATCCCGTGACATGTCCTGGCTGTGCTCTGACAGCTTTGGCATGGGCTCTGCTGCCGTCTTTTCCTGCCTGCATTTCCAGGCACTTGGGGCTCACTGATTAGAAGCTACTGCATCCTCCAGGCTGGTTTGGTGCAGAGGACAGGTTTAGTTTGGACTATTAAATTTGATTGGACTTCCATCTTTATTGTTATACACACTTAGTCGTTGAAGATGAGTTTCGACAAACGTCACGAGGCGGGTTGAATCTGTTCGGTAGCAGCATGATTAATGAAGGTTCTGCTGTGCCCCGTGAAACTCAGAAGGTGCCATGTCAACATGGTTCTGGGTGAAACGGTATTAGTGAATCGAACATCTGTATTACAGAATGCAGTCTGCAAGGAGACCGAACGGTTCTGTTGCTTCCCTTTGCTGAGCTGGGAAATCATCCCCGTGGCTGTAGAATGCCCCTGCAAGTTCTAGTAGCTGCCATTTTGGAAATTAATTGCACTGAATAAGCGAAGGCGAATGCCAGGCATTTAATTGGCTCGTCTCTCCCAGGCTGCTATGTGAATTTTAGAGTCATTGTTAGAATTCACCCCTGATCAGAAGCTGACAGGCCGGGACAGAGGCTATTGGCCTTTAGAGGGGGAAAGGCAGGTTCTGAGACCGGCTTAAATGTCCGGCTTGTGCCTTGTATAGCCCGGTCCTCCTGGATCTCTACTAATAGCAGATAGGGCAAGAGGGAGTGGCGGCTGACCCAGAGTGGGCCACAATGTTTATCCACAGTTGTAAACCTTACGTTAAATGTTCAGGTGACTTGGTTTTTGATTCCATTGTCCCCCAAGTCTTCATTTAGAAAGGGTTGTCAGGGAAGATGCGTTTAAACATTCTGTGGCTTCCCAAACCCTTGGGATTAGGTACTCAGTTTAAGAAGTAGTGAAAAAGGTATCTATTAAAAAGGCATAAAAGATTGCAGAAAGCAAGCAAAGGGACTTTTGTATGTGAGATGAGAGTGAAGAGGTAGAAGCCAGGGTGGGATTTGCCTTTTGAAAGTGACCACTGAGCAGGGAAGGACTGGCGAGGAGGCAGGAATGCGCCAGGTGAGGGGCTCCTTTAGTCATCTGAGGCAGGAGGCTGAAGACAGAGCAGAAAGACATGGAACGAACAGCTCATTGATTGACAGGCAGGGGGCACATTCTGCCTGCCAACCTTATCCTGGGTATCTCAAACCAGTCCACTTTGGAGTTGCTTAGACCCCTGGGGCGATGTCTTTGGACAGCTCTGGTGAGGAATCTGGGGCTGTGTGAACAGGTGTCTGCATCCAGACTTGGTCCCAAGGATGTTGGGCAAATCAGCAGGGCAAAGGCACTGTTAAGGTGTGGGCCAGGTAAGAGTGAGGAAGGAAAGACATGCCCCTTACCCCTCCCCCCAGATCATTGCTCCAGAGCCGCCTTCTTCCCAGACAGCCCCTCCCCATGTGTTCCACCACCTTCTGACGCGCATGCTGCAGCTCTGGCCTTTTACTGGATTTGTGGTCCAGAGTCCGGGGCTGAACCGTCTCTCTGCTCTTCCTACCCAGTGTCTTCAAGTCAGCCTCCCTCTCAGAGCTGCGGTGTCCGCAGAATGATGCTGGTAATAGTTTCATTACGGGCCTGGAGGACATTCCAGTGGAAGCAGGCTGTGCTGAGCCTAGTGCCAAGCCAGGCATTGCTCAACGCACAGGAAGTAAGTCTCTGCGCTCGGAGCTCAGGGCCCATAGATAGCGTTTGGTCAGACAGAGTGTGGAGAGTAAAGGGCGGTGCAAGCGATTAGACATTTTTTAAAAAATTTATTATTTAAAAAAATTATGTGTCTGAGTGTTTCCTGCATTTGTGTCTGGGCACCACATGTGCTTAGATCCTGCAGAGGGTAGAATAGGGCATCAGATTCTCTGGAACTGGGGCTATGGATGCTCTGAGCCACAGCGGAGGTGCTGTAAATTCTGAACCTTAGGTCCTCTGAGCGAGCGCTCTTTTGGTTGGTTAGTTTGGTTTTGTTTTTAGAGACAGAGCTCTACGTTTTTCTCTGTCCCCTCCCTGTCTCTCCCCTCCCCCTCCTCAACTCTCTCCCATGGTCCCCATGCTCCCAATTTACTCAGGAGATCTTGTCTTTTTCTACTTCCCATGTAGATTAGATCCATGTATGTCTCTCTTAGGGTCCTCATTGTAGTCTAGGTTCTCTGGGACTGTGATTTGTAGGCTGGTTTTCTTTGCTTTATGTTTAAAAACCAGTTATGGGTGAGCACATGTACACCGATGACAACTTATGCTGGAGAGGTTGTGGGGTAAAGGGAACACTCCTGCATTGCTGGTGGGAGTGCAAGCTGGTACAGCCTCTTTGGATGTCAGTGTGGTGATTTCTCAGAAAATTAGGACACAACCTTCCTCAAGACCCAGCGATACCACTTTTGGATATATATCCAAAGGTTGCTCAATTGTGCCACAAGGACATGTACTCAACTATATTCATAGCAGCATAGTTTGTCATAGCCAGAACCTGGAAACAATCTAAATGTCCCTTGACCGAAGAATGGATAAGGAAAATGTGGTTCATTTACACAATGGAGTACTACACGGCAGAAAAAAAATTATGATATCTTGAGACTTTCAGACAAGTGGATTGAGCTAGAAAACATCATTTTGAGGGAGGTAACCCAGACCCAGATTTGTGTTCTTATAGAATGCTGCAAACCTGACCCCAGGCTGGGTAGATAACTCCGTGGTAAGACACTTGGATAGTACGTGCAGGGCCTGGGGTTCTCTCCTCAATATCGTAAAACAACCCAAATGATAAAAATGTCACCCGATTCACCCACAGAACACTCAACCTGTCGGCCCATACTATTGGGAGTGCCACTTCAGACCTCCAGTGTGTACCTTGTGTGACTGACTCATGCCTTTCTCTCGGTTTTCCCTTCAGTTGTAGCTGTTTATTTAAAAGACTCCTGGTGGTCCATTGAAGACGTCCTAAGAACTTCTGATCCCACAAGGGAAGGGCTCATGAAGGTGAGGGCATGTGATGTTAAATGAACATTTGCAAAACAGGTTTTTGAGGTCTTTTCACGGGAGCCTGTGTTAAGAAATTAAGGCTGCACCAAAGCTACAGAGAAACTCTGTCTGGAAAACCAAAAAAAAAAAAAAAAAAAAAAAAAAAAAAAAAGAAAGAAAAAAAAAAGAAATTAAGGCTGGTTAGCAGGTGCTTTTAAATCAGGAAGCCATTTCTTAATCCCTAGCTGCCTGAAGAACAGGTTCCTCTGTGTCCACATTGTCTCTCTCAGTGCATTCGTCCTGTGGGCTGCCCGGTGGGCACCAAGTCTGTTTTGTCTCTGGACTCTGAAGGCTAGAGGTCTGAGGTCAAGGAGGACATCTTTTGTGTACTGGGGGAATCTGTTGGCTCTATCCCCACTTCAGATTGCTCTAGCATTTCTTTGGCCTAATGATGGCCATGTTCACCTTCTTCGGAAGCATTGTCAGCCTGTGTTGAGAGTCCCCCCTTTTGCTGAGACATCCTTTGTGTTGAATTTTGGGGAGCGTAATGTACCATCATAGCCCAATCACCTATAAAAACTCATTCCAAACAAGTTCTCATTCACGGGTTCTGGTGGGACGTTCAGCATCTTCTGACGGGCATCCTGCTAGCATCTTTTTTTAGCATCCTGCCAGCAAGGAAGAGGAACACATGACCGTTCACCAGATACCTGACTACTGTCCAGTCTGCTTTACCATCTCGAGTGTCTCTTAGGCTTCAGTTTATAAACTTTAATCTGCCCCATTTCTCTGGTGTGCTGAGAAGTTTTTCTGTTGAGTACAATTAGGTCACGGTTATTGCTAGAAGATTTAGAAGCGAATTGGTCTGCCTGCATATTTATTACCCCAGCTTCTTTATGGGGCTGGTCTAATTTCAGAATCTTTGAGCTCCTTGTTGTGTCCTGGGCGGCACAGGCTTGAGTTACACAGCCCATGAGGGATTATTTGGGTGTAGACTTCGGTGTCTTTAATGTCAGACCTGGAGCCTCTGAAGGGTTGTGGCATTGGTGAGCAGTCGAGCAGTTGTAAAGTAGGGGCCTGGGATGGGGATGGTGAAGGTGGCGGCAGCAAGCGGCTTCTCAGAGAGAATCGCTGGACTTCAGCTGGAGCGGATTAAGGAGGGAGGCAGTGATCAGCCGAGAGAGACGCTGTGTTCCTCATAGCTGCCTGTTCATCTGGCTGCCGGATTTATTTTAATTCTGTAGGTGAGAGGAAGATAGCATTTCTGTATCATCCCGAAAGGGCGTGTCTTTCCATGACTGCCTAGAAAACCGCTTGCTTCTTTCTGTGGGGTTCGGTAGGTGCCGGATGAAACGTCAGCCCAGCATTTGTTCCCACTCAGTTTGGAGAATGAGTTTCTAATGGAGTTTCTTCTACTGAACAATTCCAACATTGAGTCCTAGGGCTGAGCAGATGGGCTCACCGAGTAAGGACCCCTGTTCTGCAAGTGTAAGGGCCCAAGTTGGAATCCCCAGCGCCCATTCAGAAAGGCAGGTATGGCTGAGTGGACCCCGCCTGTGAGGGGAGGAGAAAGGTGGACTCTAGCGCTCCCTTCCGCTTCAGTGAGACTGTTCCAAGGCAGTAAGGGTGACAGAGAAAGACACGCAAGGCCTGCCGTGGCCTCTGTATGAGCTTCCACATTCAAAAAAACACTCAAGGACATGCATCATACAGATGCACCAACACACACAGGTTGACAATTGAAAACTAAGTCCTGTTTTAAGATGCACCAACACACACAGGTTGACAATTGAGAACTAAGTCCTGTTTTAAGTTTCATCCACGTGTAATTTGCGTATCGTAAATTTACTCTAAAAATGTACAATTCCGTGATGTTTAATAGACTTAAACCCACCCCTCCACAGCAGTTTCATTATCCTAACTCTGTTTTTGCTGACAGACAGCCCGGCATACGGATAGACTACATTTTATTATCCCTCCGTCAGTAGATGGACATTGAGGAGGGCCCACGTCTTAGCTGTCATGAGTCTTTTTGGGTGACTGTTGGTGAGGACATGGACTCTGAATTTTTTTGTATACATACCTAGAAACATAACTGCTATCACACGGGGTCTCTCTCATATTTTGAGGACCTACCATGCTGTCCTCCGCAGTTCCTGCACCAGCTGACTTTCCCCCAACTGTGGTGGTTTGAATGGGAAGTATCTTTCCCATAGGCTCGGATATTGGGACACTTGGTCCCCATTTAGTTGCTCCATCTGGGGAGTTATGAACCCTTTAGGAAATGGAGCCTTGCTGGAGGGAACAGATCACTGGGGGAGGGCTTTGAGGTTATAGAGTCTTGCCCTACGTCCTATTTTTTTTTTCTTTCTCTCTCTCCTTCCTGTCTTTCCCACCATGACGGACCCTGTCCCTCTGGAATCTTAGCCAAAATAACCCTTTTCGTTTTTAAGCTACTTCCCGTAATGGTGTTTTATGATAGCAAGAGACAAGTAGCTTGTTCACCATTTTGTAGGTGTGAAGTGGTACCCTAGAGATGTGTTGATGTGCATTCCCTGATGGCCAAGGATACTGAACATCTTTTCTTGCTTTTACTGGCCATTGTCTGTTCTTTCTCTCTGGGAGAAAGCCCATTGCGATCCTTCCTTAGCCCATCTTTTGATTGGAATTTTTATTGCTAAATTGTAAGAGTTTCCTACACATTCTTTGTGCAAGTCTTTTATCACGTATCTGTTTTTAAAAGAACTATCACACTGGGCGGTGGTGGCACACACCTTTAATCCCAGCACTTGGGAGGCAGAGACAGGCGGATCTTTGTGAGTTTGAAGCTAGCCTGGTCTACAACAGCTAGTTCCAGGACAGGCTCCAAAGCTACCGAGAAACCCTGTTGGTGCAGGAGAATTGTCTGTATTCTGTCAATCATGTTTTAAATAAACGCTGATTGGCCAGGCAGGAAGTATAGGTGGGTCAACCAAACAGGACGTAGAGGCGGGGCGATGAGCGATGAGAACAAGAAAATTCCAGGAAGGAGGAAGCCCAGATCACCGAAAAGCAAGATGTAATCTACCCTGTAGAAAAAGGTACTGAGCCATGTGGCTAACGTATACTAGAATAATGAACTAATATAAGTTGTAAGTGCTAATACGAAGCCTGAGCTAATGGGCCAATCAGTTTATAAGTTATGGAGACCTCTGTGTGATTTGCTTTGGGGCTAAACGGCTGTGAGAACTGGGCAGGACAGAAACCCCAAAGCTGGTCCACATGCTACACCCTGTCTCAAAAAACTAACTAACTAACTAAATAAATAAAAGAACTATCACATATTTGCTATAAAAACTTACATGACTTATTTCTCATTCTGTAAGCTGTCTATTTAAAAACATTAAATCTGGATTCAGTGGTCTTGATAGATGTTATTATAGATATTGTGCCAAGGTTTTCTTTAAAAAAAAATCAATGCTACCCTGAGATCCAGCTGAGGACCATAATGTAGTGGTGTGTGCTGTTCTCCCAGTCCCTTTGTCACAGGTGGACTCAGTGGGTAATTGATGCTAAGAAGACTCTAATTTGCTCCTTATAATGCTCCAGAATGGGAGTCCTTGCTTTTCTTGCCTCCCATCTCTTCCAAGTTTGGACTGGGAGCCCACCTTCAATTTTCTGAGAGTGTCCTCTTCTGTGTATGTTTATATTCTGAAGAGAAAGAACCTAACAAACCACAGTGGGATATTCTACGCCCCCCCCCCCCGCCCATGTCTCCGCCCATGTTCCCCTCATGTCTTCCCACTTCCATATATGGATATTTCCTTCTGTTCTTTCTTAGACTTACTCTGTACTTTTTAAAATCAGGTTTTGTTTCTTAGCCACTTATTTTTTCACACATTACTAGAAAAATCCCCTTTAATGCTCTCTCTGTTAACACGATTAGTGGTCCCAGTGATGGCTTAGAAATGGATCTTAGTTTTATGTTTTCAGAAATGCTTCTAAGTCAAAATGGCATGTCACACTTTTTTTTTCTTCCCGTAATGGAATTGGACAAATTAAGCACACTCCCTTTCCCCCTTTTCTCTTGCCAGCGTTTGGGTGTTTCCCTTCTGCCACACGCAGTCTGGCTTCCCTCCGGTGCCATTGGTTGAAAATTACTGCCTCCCAGATGATACCCATTAGCTCTTGAGGTCAGCTAGTTCTTAAAGCTGAGCTTCACATCTGGCCACCGCTGTCCGAGAGAGAAAGTGAATTGGTTAGATCCAGGCATGTCTCTTATATTCTTTTATATTTTTATATCCTTTATATTCTGCACCAGCAAGGATGTGTGTGGACACTGGATACTTGGCTGGATGCTAGGACCAACTGCCTTTTTGTTAGTAAGTGTTTTAAAAGCAGACAAGTGGGCCAGTGAGGTAGCTCAGTGGGTGAAAGGGCTTGGCGCAAGCCTGACGATCTAAGCTTGAGTCTCCCAACTCTTGTTGAGGTAGAAGAGAACTGACTCTACAGAGTTGTTCTGTGACCTCCACATGCGTATCATGTGTCTACACATGTACATCATGTGCTAACATGCATGTGTATGTGCATGTGTGTGCGTACATGTGTGTGAGACAGAGAGAGAGCCCATGCACATACAACAAAGCAACAGACAGTGTTTTAGGGCTCACTCAAGGACATTATCTCCTGAACTGAATCTCAAAGAAGTATGAATGGCTGAGATCTCCCAGGAAATGCAGGCTAAGATCCTCTCCCACAAGTACAAATGACAGTAATGATGTTGGGGAGGACAGTATTTTGGGGATCTGGTATTAAATCTAGAACTAGGAGGCTGGGTAGATGATTTATTTGGCAAAGTGCTTGCCATGCAGGCATGAGGACCAGGAATCAATCCCCAGAGCCCACATAAAAAAGTTGGCACATGCTTATAATCCTTGAACTCGGAAATATAATAGAATCCTCCTGCCCATAGCAGAGCCATTGCTATGGTCAAAGTTGGGCCCACCAACTTCAGAGCTTTCTCTTACACGGCCAAAATGACATCCTATTCCTACCTGTGACTGAAATCAGGATCTCTCTTCCGGACTCATGGGAACTCAGAGAGCTCATTGGCCAGCCGGCCTCGTCTGTTTGGTGCGTTCACCACACACACACACACACACACACACACACACACACTCACACACACAAACAATCATATACACCATATACACTCACCCACATATGAACAGTAACATAAAACATAAATAAGTAAAATTGTCTGTAAGACCATGTATTGATGATTTCGATGAATGCCCCCATTCCCAAAGTCTCAGGTCTGGCGGACGGAGAGGCAGAAGGGAATTAACTTCTGTCTGGGCTTGGGAAGGTATGTGGTTTGTGATGCAGGAGCCCTGGCCTGTTTGTTACTCCAGCCTGTTTCTGAGCTGGCCCTAGCGCAGCTGTCTGAGCTGTCTCTGGAATGAGACAGTAAAACCGATGCCTGTACCCACTTAACCTCTTTGAGCTTCAATATCTGCACCTGTAAGCCAGGCCTTTCCCCAGCAGATGAGCCCCAAGTGACAGCTCCGGGGGTGGGCGGATCTGGTGGCAATGTGGATCCATGCCCACACACGTGTGCCACTCCGGCTGTTACGTAGCAGAGTTGTAGGCTGAAACCCAGTGCTCTAGTACAGTCATTGTGTGAACAGCTGGCTGCGTTCATCCTCCACCCCGGATTGTATCTGTTGCCGGTGCTGCCTAGATGGATGTTTGTAGGATGAAGTAGATCATAGCCTGGCTGTGTAGCCAGCCGTGGTCAAGTAGCCGCGTCTCCTATGAGTCCAGAAGAGAGATCCTGATTTCAGTCACATATTCGCCCTTTCAGAGTCACAGGTAGGAATAGGATGTCATTTTGGCCGTGTAAGAGAAAGCTCTGAAGTTGGTGGGCCCAACTTTGACCATAGCAATGGCTCTGCTATGGGCAGGAGGATTCTATTATGCTGCCAAGTTCAAGGTGGTCCCTGAGTCCTAGTGATGCCCTGGCGTTGAGACTCCAGCTTGTGCTTGAAGTCTGTCGTACGTTTTGAAAATCAGTGATTTTTGCTTTGGCAGCTGATCCCTGGGGCAGAGATGTCCTTGCTGTATAAATGGCAGATTCAGGCCACAGCTGGTCATCTCTTGGAATGGCTGACCTGGCCTCCCTAGAGGCAACTTCCTGTTTTGTTACCCTGAAAGTGTCCCACTCTGTGGACTTATAGCCCATATCTGTGGACCCGAGTCTTTTCTGGCACGGTCACTCTGTACTGAGCTGTATGACTCAGTGGTATTGAGACCCCACAATTCACGCCCTGATCAAGAGCATTCTGCCACACCTGGCCCTGCCGCGAGCTGCCTTTCCTGTCTGGCCTCACTTGGTGGTGGTTGTTCTTTCTTTTTCCTTTTAAGGTTCAGTCCTTCGGGGAAAGAATTGTACTTTTTGTTCTCAACACCATTGTTTTTGGAAGACTGGAGAGAAGTCTGGATGACGATGACATGTTTTTCTTACCTCACCCGGCGAAGGAGCAAGCTAAGATTCTGTGGAGAGACGGAGCGGCCGTTGGATTTTATTCAATCAAAATGAAAGGTGAGGGATGTGTGGTCTCTGAGGTACAGGGTGGGGTGGGACACCTTGGAGGTCTGATCATCTCTGCAGAACCCCTCAGCATGAGCGTTCTGTGGATTCTTCTGGCTTGGGAAGCACAGCCAATTAAACTTCTGTGTAAAGAAGCCCAAAGCATGGATTTCATTTGTATGGTTCTGTAAGCCTTCTCCTTGGTTCCCAGGAAGAGCCGTGTGGCCCTACGACAGTGAACAGTATATGTGCCTGAAGCTAAATGCTTATCCTTTTCCTTAATGCTAACAGTTTGCTGTCAGGGAAATGTTATTGCTAACAGCTGACGCGTGTTCAGGAAGCGGCCTAGATGCCAAGACTTACAGACATTACCTCAGAAGACAAGACAGGGAATTGGCCATGGGAACAAGGTTAGGTTAGACACCAGCAACTTCCTTCTAGGGACCTTGGCAAGCAGTAGGTGTTCAACTGTTGGGATGAAGGTGTCTGTCTGTCCTTTCAGGTAGCTGTTTTTTTTTTTTAAATAGTTTCTTCAGCCTCTAAAGGTTGTCACCATCTGACCCAGCTGGTTCCACCATTGCCACCGCTTGTTTCTTATAAAGTTATTCATTTTAGGAATTGTTTTAAAAAATGACATGCATTTACTTGTCAGCAGTGGGGAGGGTGGCATAGGTGAGGAGGTCAGAGGTCAACTTGTGAGTCTGTTCTCTCCTCCCACTGTATGGGTTCTGCGGATCAAACTCATGTTGTGGGGCCTGGTTGGGAAAATTCTGAGCTCGCTCACTGGCAGGAAAATGACCAGTTTTAGTAACAATTAAATTTCCCAGAAAACCCTCGTGGATGTGCTATTTTTGGAAGTAAGTGTTGTTCTTGGGAGATAAAGAGGCTGATTTTTGTTTTGAACTATGTTCATATGGTGTGTGTCTATGAGTGTGTGTGTGTGTGTGTGTGTGTGTTCTACTTGCCTGGCATGGAATGAAGTCCTTTCCGTGCTCCTTCCCTAGCTGCCTCCCCTCTTTCTTCTGTCATGTGATCAGGTTCTCACGTTTTGTCTGTTTGTTAAATGTCCGCTGAGGTCAGTTGTAGGAGCTTTGGCACATGGCTGCTTCATGATGACCACTGGCCCTGTGATTAACATGTCTTTATACCTTTTCAAGTTTTTATATTCCAGATTTATTAACTTTACATAGAGTAATGGGCCCGGAGAATAATTAAGATGAAGGGGAAATGTTTACAAAAAACCAAAAAAAAAAAATTCATCGTTCATGAAACATGGGCGATGGTGGCGCATGCCTTTAATCCCAGCACTCGGGAGGCAGAGGCAGGCGGATCTCTGTGAGTTCGAGACCAGCCTGGTCTACAGAGCTAGTTCCAGGACAGGCTCCAAAGCCACAGAGAAACCCTGTCTTGAAAAACCAAAAAAAAAAAAAAAAAAAAGTTGCATAGAAAACTCACTCAGTCAAATAGCGTGGGCTCACGGGGGCTCACAGAGACTGAACTGACACCCAGGGAGCCTGCATGGGACTGACCTTGGCACTCTACATATATGTTACACTTGTGTAGCTTGGTCCTCTTGTGGGACCCCTAACAGTGGGAACAGGGGTTGTCTCCAACTCTTTTCCAGGCTTTTGAGATCCTACTCCTCATACTGGGTCACCTTGCCCAGCGTTAATACAAGGGGAGGTGCTGAGTCTCACTGCAACTTGATATGCCATGTTCTGTTGATACTCATGGGAGACCTGCCCTTTCCCAAACAGAAACAGAGAAGTGGATTGGGGGTGGGTGGGAACGGGGGGGGGGTGGCGAGAGGAACTGGGAAGGGAGGAGGGATGGTAAACTGAGACCAGGATGTAAAATAAATGAATGAATTAAAAAAAAAAGAACCACTTTGTACTATCTTCTGCAATCTCCTTTCTCACCCAAACTGCTTTGGAGGCGTTCAACAAGTCTCATCATTTTAAAGTTCTTTCTGAAACGAATATTTAAGACAAACTGATTTTCCCACTCTTCTGTCTAACTAGTTAGGTCAGTCTCCCTAGTCCAGCTTTTGTCTGACAGATATTTGGGGGGTAGATATGGGTCAGAGGTCATTTGTTTTTCTCAAGATTCAGTCCTTCGAGCTATTTCCAAGTCAAGGGTGTTCAGGACTCTGGTCACTTAGTGTGCTCTATCCTAACGTGGAGCCTTTGGTGGCGACGTGGGCCTCAGACTTCAACACAGAGCATTGAGCCAGACATGGTCCTTAGCTGAAGCACGGGTCTGGATGTCACCATTGCCCCAAGTGGCAGCACTGGTCAGTCAGATCAGCATAGTCCCAGTGCGGCAGTGTGGTTTTTGAACACCAACATGGCCCCAGGTGGTAGCTCCGACCTTGGACATCCACTGGGCCTTTATGGTAATAAGAGCCACGGACATCAACATGGACTCTGGCTGCATTAAGGCCATGGACCTGCACATGCTCCTCAGCTGCAGCTCTGGCCCGAATGTTGCCATGGCACCATGTGGCAGCCCAGGCCACTTGGATTGGTATGGCTTGACCCTTGGATACCTACATGGCTGCAGGTGGCAGCCCAGACACTGGGCATCCTTATGGCCTTTGGTGGGTCACAGATGTCAACACAGAGCCTGGCTACAGTAGGACCACAGACCCAGACATGGCCCTTGGCAACAGACTGGGCTTGGACATCACCATGGCCCCAGGTGTCAAGCAGGCTGCCAATATCAGCCTGTTCCTCACCACCCTCTCTTCTTCAGTTCTGCCTCTTTCCACAGCGCATGGACCTTTCTGCTTCTCTTTCTCTCCCGTTTCTCCACCACACAATGGCATCCACTCACTGCGAATGTCTTCCCCACAGCCCAGGTCTTGAGGACCCAGGCTGCCTGTGGGTGGCTTCCACCCACTTGAGTAGAATCAGTATGATAATCTTAAGGTGTCCTTGAGTTTTATTGAATTGTTGCGCCTGTTTGTCAGAGAAATTAGCTTTTACTTTTCTTCTTTTGTCATGTCCTTTTCTTGTTTTGGCATTAGGTCAGTGGAGTGGTTTTAATCTTCCTGTTTTTCTGACCCTTTAATACAAGTTGCTCATGGTGTGGTAACCCCCATAAAATTATTTTCACTGCTGCTTCATAACTGTAATTTTGCTACTTTTATGAATTGTAAAGTAACTATCTGATATGCAGGATGTCTGTGAAAGTGTCATCCAACTCCCTCCCCCCTCCGCCCCAGACCCACATGTTGAGAACCACTCTGTTAGGGGAATGCTGGCTTTTACAGAAATAGTTTGGTTGTGTTTCTTTCCTTTATCTTTTTTTTTAAAAAAGATTTATTTTATGCATATAAGTGTTTGCCTACACAAATATAAATGTACCATGCATGCATGCCTGGTGCACATGGAAGTCAGAAGATGGCATCTGACCTGTAGTTATGGAGTTGAGAGCCAACATGTGGATGCTGGGATCTGAACTGAGATCCTTTGCTGTTTTCCCCCACCCTTTCTTTCTTTCTTTCTTTCTTTCTTTCTTTCTTTCTTCTTTCTTTCTTTCTTTCCCTCCCCCCAGTTCTCCCCACTCCAACTCTGCGTTTTCTTGGCTGACTTCTCAGTGAGATGCCTGTCAAAAGATGAGCATAGGGTATTGAAATTGCTCACTATCATTAATGATAGTATCTGACCTCTTATGTCTGTTAGTATTTGCATATGAAATTGGGAGCACTAACTAGTACTATATGTACAATTGCTATAACTTTTTGATGAACTGTTCCCTTTATTACTACGTAGTGGCATTCTTTATTCTTCTAACAAATTTTAGGTTGAACTCCAGTTTCATAGTTTTTTGAATGGTCTCATGTGCCCAGGATGGCTTAGAACTCCCACTGTAGCTGAGGGTGACCTTGAACCTCTGGTTCTCCTATTTCCCTAGTGCTGGGATTATAGACACCCATCATGACACCTGATCCATGCAATACTCGGGAGTGAACCCAGTGCCTTGTGCATGCTGGGCAAACATTATAAGCCCACTTAGCTGAATCCTCATCCCTGACGTCTAGTTTTTATCAGATACCAGAATAGCTCTGGCAGCTTGCTTTCCAGTTCTGCTCACTTGACGGATTGTTTTCCATTCGTTGACTCTGTCTGTGGATATTTTTACCAGTGAGTTGTGTTTCTTGGAGACAACAGATGGTTGGATCCTGGTTTTTCATCCAGTCAACCAATCTGTGTCTCTTTTTTGTTGACTTGAGGTCGTTTACATTGAAAGTTATTAATAGGAGTGTTTCTTGATTTCTGTTCTTCGGTTGGTTGGATTATTGTTTTTTCCATTCTTCCCTGTTTATATAAAAACTTTGCTGGTTCACTGTGGTGGACATGTTGGATTCCTTCCTAGCTCTCCTTGGTTGATCTATTGCTCTCATGAAGTTTATTCTTTCTTGTGTTCTTGTGATAGTAAATTTGTTTTCCTCTTTTTTTTTATGATGCTGGACTACCTTGGTGAGGTTTGTCTTGGAATGTCCTTATTATTATGTCAGCTTTTAAAGATAGCTTTGCTGGCATTAGCAATCTTGATTGGCAGTTATTCATTTTCAGTTCTTGAAATATATCATTCCTGGCTTCCCTGGATTTAAGTATTGCCGACGAGAGACCTGGTATTTTATGGACATGTCTGCCTTTGTAGGTCAGTTGGCATTCCTCCTGGGGAGCTTTCCATCTGGCTTCCTTATTTCGGAGTTTAGATGCCATGACTCTATGATGGGGAGATTTTCTCAGGTCAAGCTTCTTTGGAGTTCTAAATGCCTCTTAGTGTTCGGATGTGTGTTTCTCTATGTTTGGGGAATTTTCTGCTATAATTTCATTGAATAGATTCTCCAAGCCTTTAGTGTTTCTGTGAGTTCCTCCTTCTATCTCTGCGTTCTTCCCCTACCCTCAAGACAGGGTTTCTCTGTAGTTTTGAAGCCTGTCCTGGAACTCCTTCTGTAGACCAGGCTGGCTTTGAACTTGCAGAGATCCGCCTGCCTCTGC